AGGGAAAGGAATTAGCTCTCAACAGCTGTGACTTGCATGAAAAAGTGGTTAATTCTCTCTTTCCTAGCACTTTACAATCTTGAGTGCATCCCCAAATATTCTGCATTACAATGTATGTTGCCACAAAAGTCTGTCTGAAACCTAAAGGTTCTTGTGCAGCTAAAAAAGTTTTAAATTATGTTAAAACTCCAGTACAAATATTTATAACTTTATTGATAGTTTACTTGTACAAGATGTACATTCATATTTTGTGAATCCAAAGGGGGAAAACAAACTGTACGATGATTCATGTTTAGGCATGCTTGCATATGAAATGAGAATCATTATAATGGGTACAACAAATTCCATGGAGTATTGTTCATTTCAACCATCCCTGAAATGTTTGTAAACTCGGACACGCTACTATTTTTTTTTTTTTTTAGGCAAACAATGCACTACAGCCACACCTCCTAATTCAAATTTAACACTTAAAAAAACATACAAAAATAAATGCAAAGCCATGTAAAAATGTACACTTGTAGTTCAATCTTTCATAAGCTTTCAGACAAAATAATAAATTAAATACCCATAGTTTAATTTAAAATGGAGACATAGATAAACAATTCTAAACAGAGGTCTGTTAAGAGAGAAACATGTTGTTTTGAAACTGTTCGAGGTACGTAGACCTTCAACAGATCTACATTTATAGCGCAGCTCTGACAGCAGTGTTTAAAAGGTTGTCAAAATAATCTTTGAATTCCAAAACAATTTAAATGTCCTGTTTTGTCTGGAGCAATTTGCACAACATTTGGAAATTACGACAAAATGTCACGTATAATGTGCAGAAGTGAATCATGTTATAAACAACAGTTTGCTTTAGATTACATTGTTCATTTGTTGATTTTATTATGAACATTTTCCAAAATCCAAACAATTAGATTTTCTCTGGAAGAGTAGCAAAGAGATTTTTTTTTTTTATTTAGCCTAATTTCTCCAGCTTCCAAAAATGTGCTCATGTTTTACTCAACAAAAGATAGTTGCACCTGATACACAACAGCTTAAATACATGGGAGGTTACATGGGATATGGCACCTGGATTTGACTGACTTTTCTTTAAATTAACTAAATATACACTGCTGTAGAAAAACTGATTTGTTTGGCAAATAAATTCAACACTCCAACAGTGCATGAAAAACAACGAAAAAATCATTGGATCTTTATTGTCGAGGATTAACTAACTGTTTTTTTTTTATTGTTTTTTTTTTACTTTTTGCTATTTACAGTATTGCACTTAAACTGCACACCATTGCATTTTCAGTCTGACTGATGCTTTCTTCATATTTCCAGAATTACAAAAAATGAAAAAAAAAAATTATACCCTTTATTCCAGATAATGTCCTTTTTGCTGATCACATGACGATATCAAACCCCTCTCCTTTTTAGTTCGTAAAGTAGTATCTGCTTGTAGTGCCATTTGTAAACACCCACATACAAGACCTGAAGTGCAAAGGCTATCATCACTTCTTTACCCAGGATACAACACAATAAACAGAAAGACAGAGAGAGAGAGCACGCTGTGAAGAGAAATGCAAACCGAGTCTCAGCAACACAATCATATCTCTCCCCTCTGCAGCAACGAAAAACCAGTTGTTGCTTTTATTACAGAACAAGTCCATAGGAAGGAGGATATCAAACTATAATTGAGAGCTTTCACTTTGTAGGTGTAAGGAGGAGGCGGGGGGGGACATGTTGAATGGCAGTGTTAAAAACAGTTGTTGAGTGTTTATGTCAGCTGTGGATGGAGGCCAGTTCCAGAACGTTCCTCCATTAGAGCTCATGCACTTGGCAGCAGCAGGGAACACAGTGGTTGGAGACAAATGTGGCCTTTTTTTAAAATGTTTTTTTTTTTTCTAGCGAGTGCCAGGGCAGGGGGGTGTAAAGGTGGGAGCCAGTCCAATGCCGCGGTGAGGTGGTGTGTGGGTCTGTTTCCCCCTCGCTCACACTTCTGCACTGTCAACATGGCGGCAGCCAGCGGCAGCGGGGCTCAGCTTTTGGCCCTGCTGCTGCCTGCCAGTTTGCTTTGTTCTAACATCTTCTGGTCTGACGGGCCCCGGCCTGGCCCTCAGACTGACATCCACATGTGTTTGTACGGTCCTTGGGATGTGATCTGTGCCTGGAGTGGACTGAGCCACTGGCCCCGCAGAAGTCCTGCCTGTTGGGCGAAAAGTAAAAGGTGATTTCATTGGTATTTAATTACCATTCTCTACAAGTGGTTTGTTTTGGCAGCTGGTTTTGTGACAATTTTCTCGCTCCCTCCTTTTTATTTTCTTCCTCCACTGTTCTCCCCCCTTCTCTCTCACACACTCGCTCTCCCCCCTCTCTATGTTCCTCTCTTTCATTCTCACTCAGTGTTTTTGTTTAGTTTAGTTTTAGCTGTGAGTGTCACGGCCTTTCAGTCTTGTGTGAGAGGCGATTATGGGCATCAGGCGAGCGGAGGGGCAGCCCGGTGGGGTCAGAGTCCCAGAGCCTCGGTGTGTTTTCTTGCCTTGAGTCGCAGGTCAGCGATGCTTGAGTTCTTGCTGTTGCTTTTGGCGACTGTCGCCACCGCCGCCGCTGCAGAGGCCGAGTCGGCGAGAGATGCGATTGGTAGTCCAAAAGGAGGGGGCGGGAACATCAGGTAGGGAGCGTGAGCAGCCAGGTGAGGGTGCAGGTGGGGGTGGGAGTGGGTGACCCCATCCAACTGGAGCTGGGCTTGGACCTGCAGAACAGCAAAATATAAAGTTAGTGTCCACGCCTCAGGCTGTGTGTGTGTGTGCACATATGTGTGTGTGAAGAGGGGAAAGGATTTAGGTTTCACAGTCTGACACTATTAAATTCCCCCTCAAACTTTACCCCCCTCAGATCTGTTGCTTACACTGTGTTTTCTAAGAAAACAGTTAAGGCCTGCACTCTGCGCTTTAGCCCTTTTTTCATGTCAGCTATTCTAAAAGTTAATGAATCATACATTACTCTCAGACACCACATCCAATTTAATCGTCTAGAATCAAAGTCTTCCTGGGACCCAGAACAGATTCGTTTAATTCAGACTGAGGACTGCGTTATACCCTTGGAAATACGTGGTCTTCTTATCTTGATTATATATTCAATTGCATAAACAATTTTGCACTAAAAAGATATTCACATATTTGGAGTTATAAATATTTATCCAGACATATTCCTGAGTTAAGGGGGAAAAGAAGCCACAGGGAGCATAGAATATCAGTTTTCACATTCTTTGCAATTATTTTATAAGACGTAGGTGAAACTTAAGCATCCGCTTACTTCACATGGAGAGAGAGCTGAGCCATTTCTCATGTGTTTCACACTCCACAGGACAGAAGTGGAAAACTCCAGTTCATGCTTTCTTATCCAACCAAAATAAGATGATATAAAGTCAAAGTTTTAACTTGACTAAATATTATTTTATCACTTTGCTCCCTTTTATATTGGCCTACTGAAAGTGACTCAAACTGAAGTTGTTAAATGAAAGGGAAAATTAAAATGAACCACAAATTTGTAGTTGCTCAGCATCACTGCAATGGCATCCAAACTACAGCTGCAAACAACAAACAGCTCCAAACAGTTTCACTAACATTTAGGTAACAAACTGCAGCTGTGACCGATAATGGTGTGGCATGGCATCGGATAAAAATGCAAAAGCGCTGATGGAAAACCAAGTTAACTTTGTGAAATTTGATTTTGTGGAGCGATCTTGTTTGGAGGCTGTGACAGAAACTGATCCGTCCCTGACCAAACAGGTGGTGAAGGTCTGACATGTTTGTGTGGTAGGGTGTGCGTGACCTCTCATCTCCATGCACATAGGTACATAAGTTAGTCACGCACTTACATGTGCAGTTTTTGTTTTATTTTTAAAAGATGGTTTAGGTTTTTCTTTACTTGCTACCTGAGGCTGAAGAAGGACGAGAAGGAGTCACGTGACACGAAGGTTTCCAGCCAGATTCAACCCTCAGACGTTGCAGTTACAAGTCATGACCTTAACCAACCAAACCACTCGTTTTATGTGCTGTATTGTGATATCAGTGCAGCCCAGCGCCTGTTTCAGCTGCTTGCAGCAAGCTTCTCTCAGTATGCAGGCCTCAAGCCTCCACCCCTGCCAGTGCAGCTCAACACCAATATCCATCAGAGCCCACAACATTCCCCGACTTTCATCATCTCTTTTATGTGCTCGCGCCTGCCGCACTGTTGGCTTAATTAGGCCTCTGCTTTTCACGAGGGTCGAGCAGAAAACACAGCAGCCAGGACGCAAAAGCACATAGCAGCAGATCAAATGTCTGTCCACCTCTCCTCCCCAGCCTCATGCAGCCTCACCCTCTCCAGACAGGCAGGAGTGAAAGGTGCACACACACACACACACACACACACACACCTCTCACCACTTGCATCTATATATACATACAAATATAGAAGGCCTACTTTGACTCTGATTCCACCACACCAGCTACATGCATGCACTGAAACACACACACACACACACACACGTAGTTCCAACTTAAGCTTTACAAGATGCTGAGTAATCATCTTTTTCTGCAGCTTTGCCAATCTTTTTATTCTTATTTGTTTCAGCCTGAGTTTGTTCTCTGATTGGATGATTGTACAAATTTCAAGCTTCGTCAGCTCCTGCTAATAGGAGAACATGGCTTACCTGTTGGAAGGGCATCCTCAGGGCACCCATATTGACGTAGGGCGCTACTCTGCATGCGTCGAGGTGACTGCCGCTGCCCAGAATAACACCTGGAGAGAAGGGAAAGATGTCTGTCAGACAGCCAGACAGTTGTTGTTATGTGAGATGAGGAGGTCACAGTTTTTCCACATCAAGTTAAAAATGGTTAAATTGTGTCACATTGTAAAACTAAAATAACCCAAATGTAGAGTAAGATTGAAGAAAGTTAGAAGAAATGACATTTACCTTTATGCATCTGGTTTTCTTGTTTTCGACATTTTGCTCTTCTGTTTTGAAACCAAACCTAGAATTGAATAAGCACATTTTTAGTTGGACAAATACTAAAAAACTGGAACTAAAACCATTTTTTAACAAGCATGTAATTGGTGTCCTTTATCTTTTCTCAGATATATTTTTTTATGAACAGGGAAATTATTTGTAAGTAATATAAGCTTCATATTCAGCATCATAATGTACGTACAAAATTAAAACTGTAGGCTAACAAAATTACTCCGAACTCAGCATTAAATAAGCTAAGCAAATCACAGTGCACAGTGTCAGGACAATAAATGCTGTGGTGATATTTCGTTGAGGAAAAAAAGGCGCCTTCGTTAACCACCTACCAATTTGCTGACTCTGTCAGAAGCTGCAGGCTGCGACCTATTGTTAATCATCATCAACCTAATTTGCTGCAGTGAATAACATTATCCCCCCCTCCCCTTCGACCCCGCAAAGATTATCATTTACAGATGCGAAATTAGCGACTGGTCGCGGAGCACAAAGGGCGCAGACTGATGATGATGAGGAGGAGGAGGAGGAGGAGGAGGATGACGGTGCCTGAAGTCATTGTAAGCGGCGTGGAGCGACGTTAAACACTGTGTCAATGTGACTACAACAACAGGGCAGTCGATAAACTGTCCATTAGTGACGGAGACAAGCGGCCATATGGCGTAAACAATAGCAGGCCTTTATAATATAATTTCACACAAATATCACATTATAACAACAGTATAAAATATTTTCCTGATGTAATAATATTCACGCAGCACAAATGCAATTTTAACAAATGATTGTTATTATTATTATTATTATTAGGCGTGAGTCATCAGCTGTACAGTCTAAAATGATGGAGAAAAGGTGTTTATGAAAATCCCAGGTGATCTCGCACAGACGCGCAGTGATCCCTCAGATAAATCAATGCTAATATTATACGGGCCCATGATCAATTCCAATTACGTGCCAGTATGTTAAGCAAAGTGGACTACACTGGTTCAGACAGTTATTTCTTCATTAAGGGCCACTCAATGATGCGCTTCACAAATACCCTAATCTCATTTCCTTTTTGATTTTTTATTAGAGACAGTGAATAATGACATTTAATTTAGCAGCGCGCCAGAAACCCAAAGATATTAGTCCTAAGCGAATTACTGCCTGCTCCTCACCAAGCTCTCATAACTTTCAATTAGATTCATTGACAGCTGCTCGGAGCGCAGGTTCACCGCCTGCAAGAGCCCTGCTGCAATTCACTGTCACTAAATCTGGACAAAACGTGGCCCCCTGTCTGAAAAGTGCCTCAACACGGACTTTTCAAATGCTTTTATTCTTTAAAACGCCGTGCGCTCACAGTCACTTTGCCTTTCCCCAGAACATCCAAGTCTTAATCAGCTGCAGTCGCGCCATCAACTATTTTAATCCACACGCTGCATTTAACAGCGATTTTATCCTCTATTTTACTTTTAACGAAGTCCGGCGGTGCTCGACTCGACGTGGTAGTCGGTGGGCTTATAAAGCTCTATGATGGGTTTTTATTCACCCGATTAGATGGCTGAACAGCAGCAGAGACGGGCCAGAATTGAGTTATTTCTAATCTGTTTTTATGGAGACACTACATCAAGCCAATGGCAGATATTACAAAGAGAATGAGGAGGGAAACGAGCAGACATAAGCGCCGGTCCCCTGAAGCGGCCGTGCAGGCTCTTCATTCATTTTAATCATTGGTTAGGATGTTTTCTACCCCCGACGCTGCTCGGATCGTAGTGTAGGATGTAGGCCTGCTGAGGATGCTTCAGTAGGCGGATACAGCCCGGTGCTTTACAGCACTTTACACTTGTTTGATATCACTGGGTGAAACTAAAAAAAAAAATAAGGGTTTTTATCCGTTTTCAACTTGTTGACACACGTTAGACATGTGTGATCTGAACATGGGTCCATTTTCGTTGTGCACGCCTACACATGCCAAAATATCTACAGTCAATGCAATGTTTTGTGCAAAGGTCACAATAAAATTGCAACTCACTGAAGAATTGCGACAGCGGTGAATGAAAAGTCTCAAACTGCTATAATCTGACAATAAATCCACAAGTGAAGATCAGAGGCTGTGCAGTAAATCCCCACAGGCGTGGTGGAGGAATATCAGGGGGCTGAGGCTGCAGCGTCTCTGTCTGAGGTTACTGGGGTCGACCTGCCTGTCGACTAATGAGCTCTCCGCGTTTTGTTTCGCATTTGTGCATTTTGTAGGACTCACCATGACAAGAAACAAAAAGTACTTTAAAGACATGCGGCTCACGCAGTAATTCCCTTGAAAACGTGATCAACATGAAGCCAAATTCTGCAACATTGATTATTAAAAAAAATAAATAAAAAGGTTTTGAAAAATGACTGCATCGTTATATAAACTTACTCATTTTACTTGCACTTATTTTACAAGTAAACCGTTTTAAGTCGAAACCATAAAATCTTTATATGGCGCGATATTTTTGGATTTTCCTCTTAATCATTTGGTGGCGTTTGATTGTAGCAGAGATCAAGAACTAATTAGATCAGTAGCACGACACCTATAAGGGCTATGGTAACCTCCCCACCGTCGTACAGGATCCAATATCCTTCAGAACACCACAAATATTGGCACTAACAGAGAGGACTCGGTAGACGCTGCAGACTGGCAGCCAGTTCCTGCAGGACTGCTGTGACAAAAGGTGTTTGTTGCTTTGTTGCATCAGTGTTTGGAGAAGGAGTATCCTCACCTGCACTCTGGCCTCGGACAGACCCAGCCGCTGGCTAAGCTCCTCTCTCATGAACGCGTCCGGGTAGTGCGTCTCGTCGAACAGCCGCTCCAGCTCGTTGAGCTGCTCCAAGGTGAAGTTAGTGCGACTCCTCCGCTGCTTCAGTTTGCCTTGTGCATCCTCGTCCTCCGACTTTACGTCCTCTTTTTTCTCCTTACACTCGTATATCCCTGTCAAACGGCCCAGGGTTGGAAAAAAGAGGAGATGCGTTTAAATTCGGGACATTAAAGCTTCCTAAAAGAGTCAGTAAACACCCCCCTTTCTCTCCCTTTCTCTCTCTTTGATTC